GCATTTTGAATGTGTTACTGTTAGTTCCTGACCAATGACAACTTTGTCGTTTTGTGACAATGACGACTCATTGAACTGAATACAAACCACATGATCAATATTTTTTAGATGTCAGTCGTCCCTAATGGGCCACAACAATAATGTCTCGAAATTCCTTGAAATCATTTTGCGATAAACGATCAACATACAAAAAAACACGAACACATTAAGAACATTTATTCGAAATTGTCACATATTTGATAGACATTCGGTTCCATGATTTAGCAATATTTCAGGGTCTTACTAGATTGGACACATTTTGCAGAAACTGACACATATTTGTATATCATTTCTCTCAATGGCATATTCAAATGATGGAATCGGTGTTCGTCCATAACTGAAAAAAAAATTGAGAACACCTCCAGAGAAAACCATAATATCTAGTTTTTCTTATGACACTACACATACTCAAAATAATCTCAAAATTCAAAAGGCACACGATTAGCAAAATCATGTGTAACGGTAACACTACTACACTAACTAAACTGCAAATGTATCTCATATTTAAATTTCAAGCTTGCCGGTCAACCCAAAACCTAAAATTCTTTGGACTTTAGTAATGGGCATGACAGATGAGTGAAATAATTATTGTATGAATATATGCCTTGTGAACAGTACGGAATTAAAACATACATGGAAACACTGCACACAAAAGTCCATCAGTTTTGTCCTACAGCCAAAAATCAAGTTAATCAACATTTATTGTCACTAACAATTAAAGAATGAAAGAAAAAACGTATTGAACCGACAAAAGTAAATGTCTTTTATTGACTTCCCTTGACATTAAATTAAACCAATATTTTAATATTCAAAAAGAAATTCAGAATTTTGAAAAATGTGATGATAGGTTTTCATGTTTTGGAGATATAATGAGGCATATAGTTGACACTTCTGGGACCCTTTATATGTTAAATGTCAACCGGAGGTTATTCATGTCACGCTATTTTCTTGCAAATCCTTCAACTTTTACTGAATAACATTTAACTACATGTGCTGAAATTTCATTCTTTTTATGTTTATTTTCCTCATTCTTTCTATCTTGTATAACATCATGTCATCCTGATAAATACAATCAAATGATGTAATCATATTATGTAACTATACATACCCATATAGGTGCCATTTGCCTGTAAACTAAAAAAGCAATTGATGAAGTAAAATTACTATGCAAACTGTAAATAAACATTCTAAATTGTAATACTGATAACCGAACGGGTAGACCGCGGAATACTGGATATTGTTTGTTCTTGCGTTATAAATTATTGTGGAATACTGTTGGGGGTGTGTTTTCCTTGCTGTGTCTGTTATACCAAATTTTCTTCCCTATCTTATGCCTCGTGTTTACTTTGTTTCAAATGCATGACATATTTGTCGTTTTTCCGTTTTTGTGTCAAGCATTCCATTATGATATTATTCTCTATTTGGTTTGGTTATGCAATGATCAAAATATACATCAACGATTAGGCAGTGTTCTTCTCGTATATTCAGAACAGTCTTACAAAAGGGGACGAGGGTGCATTGAACCACAAAATATAAAAGCACTACAATGAACGTGTATCTCCTTGGTTGATTTTATAATAATGAGTTGAAATATTTATGATTCCTTTCGATTTCAAATAACAAATAATAATGGATAAATAATCAATAATAATGTGAATTGCGTCTTTATAGGAAAATGGAATTATACGTAAGATAATAGATTTTGTAAAACAACAACTTAAAGACAATATGAGTTATATTCATTTGAAACCAATTGAAATTCAGATGTTTCTGATATGAACCTTAGAATAAAGAAAACCATTTGAACCATGCAGGCATGTACATTTTTGGATTAGACAACGAACATTTGAATTGTCCATTTTAGTATTTCAACAAACTTCAATCCCTTTTATCCATATTGATGTATTTACTTTAAGTATACCCTTTGTCTACCCTGCGCGAGTCTAGTTAAATACGAAACTCTCTTTTAAGAAGTGAAATCAAAAGAATGCAAAGGGTACCTTTGTCAGACTTTAAAGGAATAAAGTAAAACTGAAACCATGCCTATATTTCAAGATGTAAGCTGAGATACAAATACCCTGTGGACACTGCTAATAGATATCACAAGGCTGTAGGTGAAGAACTTACATTTTATTACTATGTTATTTCTACAAATTTGAAGACATTTTAGAAAATCATATCAAATATTCAATCTTATCTGATTTCTCATCTAGAATCCTCGCCGTCTGTTAAACCTACATAGGGTCCTGCTATTCTACGAGAATGTAAAGACATACATGTAAAAAGTAAAAAAGTAAATGCGTATGGCAGTAAAGTAGGTAAGCGAAGACTTAAAGATCACATGGTTTTCAATCTGCAAATGAGCCAATGTAGGTTTACCTTGATTTCAGCATCTTTATCTAAATCCCGGATCTGAATTTCTCTGAAAACGCAGATGTAGAGAATATCTGTACAGTTTTGGCAAGTATAGTATATTATTGATACAAAAGTCTTCAAAGTAAAATATATGCTGAAATTATGAGATGCGCTCATTTACATCTAGAAAATATATGTACAGTTAAATGGAATTGTTTGTTTAATAAGACACCCTGGATTTTTTCTTATTTAAACACCCCAGTCGCTTATGGGAGCAAATTGAACACAGCGTTTAATTTTTCTTCTTTATTGTCACCCTTTGAATCTATGTGACATATATTTGATGTGTTTCAGTGTGTATGGTTAAAGCGATATCCCCGAGTGTAAAAATAATTTGTCATGTAGTAAAAACTGTGTTTTAAATGACTCTTCTATACAATGCAGATTGGAAGCATGTCATCTTGTAAATCAAACATTTTTCAACATAAATATCTCTTCTGTCATGCGCACAGTGACTTTCACTCGAGCGTTTCACCTAACTAGCAATTTTTCTAAATTTCTTTAGTTGATATCCCAAATATAAACATTACTCTTTGAGTTTGCATCATTATGAATGGTATCAGTTTTGCGAATATCGTAAACTGTCGTTAAGGGGATAAAGTTTCGGTGATTTTTTAACTTGGGTCGATCTACAGCGTTCTTGGGAATATTCCTTTAGTCAATCTTTCAAAATGCTATTAATCTTTTTTAAGGAGAAAATATTTTTTAATGGAATTATAAATAAAAAATGGTTCCATTTTCGCAAAATGTACTTAATCTTTACTCGTTGAGTCAAAATCGAGATGCTTCGAATGACATCATGATCAAGTTAAAGTTACAACAGAAGAACAGAAAAATCATTAAAATAACATTTAGAAATATTCAAAGGAGGGCATTACACAGTCTATTCATTCAGTTCTGTACATTTGTAGTTATACAACTATTACCGAATATTGCTTAGAATTTCTATCAACATATTTAAACACAATACAACTTCAAGACTATTTCATTTCATAAAAATTCTCGTCCCCGAAATTAAATTGAACCGTAATAGGCATATCTAGATACATTTTCACACCTCTGTTTAGAAACACAGGCGTTAATTTATAGCTAAACCTAAACATAAATAAATAAAACTCAAAATATATGGCAATTTTGAAAGCACGGGTCTATCATTAGCTACTGGAATATATGTGTTTTGGTCCATGAGTTTTCACGCTCCTTAGTTACAATGTATAAGTACCATAGGTGTACTAGCCCGAGTTGAACGCTTTAAATAAACGCTCTGACAATTTGCTTCTATGTGAATCCTTTGCTCATCTTTGTAAACCCATAAATCATAAAATACACATTCATGGCCATGTCAAAATAAGACATATCACCACAACTGTATAATTTTAATGTTCTTTAGGTCATCCATTATCGTGGCTTTTTCAAACTGTCGGGAAATGGTTTTTACTTGTGATAGGCCGGGAGGTCTGTATGTTTGATATAGAAAGTGAAGATAAGTGAGGGGAGAAGTAACACCCCTGATTTATACCCCGGTGTGTTATGTCCCATCGTTTAGTAATTTCGAGATTTTATTGAGATTTCTTTAAATTTGTAACTAATAATTATTCAGTATGAAACCCTCTCATAAAACAGAGCTCTTCTTGTGAGAAGACATATACAAATACGGTCTCATTTAATGTTGCTTTCAAACGCTTTATTTATGTCTTCTTCTACAGCGTTCTACGTTTATAATTATAAGTCCCGAAAACTTAATGTATTTTGGGAATGCTCAGATTAATTCTAAATCGTGAGGTTTTTAAATTCTGTATTCAATGCACATATCAGTGATGAACATGTGTTGGATATTTGCGTTATTTTCAATTACAGTTTATACTAAATACAAATCTTGTCTCGAAGTATTATGACTTGCATTTGCTTATTACTTTAATGTTATATCTTAATCCTAGTGTATCTTGTTAAAGTAATTGATTGCCAAAAAAGTTCACACACGCAAATGGGACTTTGAGAATTACAAACGGCGCATATGTTCATCTGTATTTCGCTATCAAATTTCATGTCCACTAGATAACCTAAATGTCTTCTATTTCTTAATAATAAACTAATCACAGAAATTACAACATCCTTAAATATAATGATAATAGAGAGCGTTTAATACATATAAGAATATAAATCAATTTTTATAGGCGAATAACTACTAGTCTCATTCTGCCAACCTGTGAACACAATATCATGCTTGTGATGTTTATAAACATAGAAATATACTTATATAGTGAAATTTACATGAAACGGTGTAAATATATACAAGACAGTCATGTTATCTTCTTAACAACGGTATATACATGAAATAACTTATTAATCTTTTAGAGATCATTTTCACAGAAAAGGCATTATTAAAGAGATATGGTTTAAGCACTGGTATTGCTTCTATTGAGTCCCGCCTGTCAAATGTATACACTTTGATTGGCCCATAGAAGCCACGTGATCATAATAAGTGTAAAGTCGTTATAAAGTGATAATTTGTGTATTCAGTAGTTTATATCTATCTACGAGATGGTGTTTAGATAAAGTTTTTAAAAGTTTTTGAAAGCATGTCTATGTGGAAAAGAACGGAACTTTACAACTAGGAGTTAAACTACAAAATAGTATAACTTAACACGATGTATCTCTCCGTGAATCTTAGGTACGTAGTTTGTCATGTCATTTTTAATCTCTGAAAACAAATAGATATAAAATGATATAATGTACACAATAACGGAACAATATATAATTTTCTTTCGAACTGTCCTATTTACACAAGTTTAAAATTCGAAGCGTATATGTTCCATAGCTGGTTAATATTTTTTCTGGAAACGAGTAAATTACATAAGACAAGTTGATAAAATCTGTGTGTAAAAACACTGTGATAATTATTACTTAATTACCAAGAATAAAAAGCGTGACGTTTGTTCAGCTAGTAAAACATTATGAGTCAATTAATTCAACATTATAAACAAAATAATAGAACGTAATAATTACAAATGATTAAGATATTTTTTTGTTAAACAAGTCTATTATTTCTTAACCAGACCAGATCGTTAATTAATCATGTGGCTTAGTCTAGGAACAGAATACGATTGGTACAATATACATTACAAAATAAATAAACATGTTGATTAATTCGTCCCTCGCTTATTTTATGCTAGGGTCGTGTTTCTAATTCTACAAATCTCTCAAAATATAAATACATTAATAAGTTTATTTTCATTTATCTAAGACCCGGCATTAATTTTTACCTATCGTTGAAGTATTTCTTGATACGATTTTTATTGTGATGATCATGTTGTATATTAATACATCGAGGCGACTCCCCTCCCATGTAAATATCACCCACAACTTCCACACAAGAACACCTGTATTGACTGTAGCAATTCTGCATTATATTATTACTTTGTCATCAACATCAGTAATGCAGCATGCTGCCCTACAGGTAACACTTTAGTTTTTTTATATCAACTGTTTTTATCAAAAAAAATTATTTAATTTGCTATTAAGATCTGAAAATATTCATCAACAAGTAATGTTACATTTACATTACATTACATTTTACGTTACATTTTTTTTTATATCAACTGATTTTATCAAAAAAAATATTTAATTCGCTATTAAGATCTGAAAATATTCTTTAACAAGTAATGTTAGATTTAACAATACTTTAATTAAACATATATTATTTAATTTACATTAATGATTTCTTAAACTATATTCTTCTCTATTATACAAGATTCTACATTTAAAATACCACATTTATCAAACATGTATAATATATATCTTGCCATTGTGATTTCTTGAAAAATGTGGTTTCACACTTCATATTATATAATATACTGTTTTATCAAACACTATTGTATTTAATTGAAATTTAAAATTTCTTAAATAAATTCGCTGATTATGTTTGCTTCACTTTTATAAATACGTCGATGTTTTCCATATGCAAGCAGTAAGGAAATATATTTTTATTAAATAATTGGATTGCTTCACATTTTACAGCATAATGGCAAGACAAAGGTGCGAATATTTTTAAAGATCTCGGAGAAGTTTATCATTGATTATTAAAAATATTAATTGTAACAACATTTTTGAATTTCAAGATGATTGAAAAATTATGAATTAATTATTAACACTGTAACAATATTTTATTACATAATATATTTATATGTTAATCTACTTTTGATATATACTAAACTCAATAAAACATAAATTAACAAAGTGAATCGATGGAATTTGAACACTTTTTTAATAAATGTGCAAAATAAATCATTTGTCTTGAAAGACGATACGACAATATATCACATACAAAAGATAAATGGCACAAACCAGTCACATACTCAAGCCGTATACTGAGTAAAAAATAAGTAAATTTAAAATTTAATGGCTGTTCGCCGAATAGATATATGGTGACCACCGCATATTTCATTTTAAATTGAGGAGAGTTTCATAAAATGATTTAGTCAATTTTAACCCCCACTCACAGAGTTTGTAGCTACAGAATACCACAACACCGCTTCTTAGCAAAAGTATAGCAGCATTTTTCGAAATTCTAGAAACAAATATCGTTTTACAAAGGCAATTAGCAAACTATGGAATCAAACAATTCTATTGGTTGTAAGAAAAAATCTAGTTTAAATTGACAAACTTTTATTAATAATTACATTTTACAAGTTCACTAGGTATAATATAAAAACAAATTCAAAGAAAACACCATGATATTAGACCATAGTAAAGAAAACACGCCTTGAAAAAATCTACTGAATTTTTCATAATAGCGATAAAAAGCATTTACGGTTCTGGTATTCAAAATCAAATGTAGTCTTCAAATAAACGTAAATTGTCACACACATTGCAAATGCTACAAGCGTAGGCTACACAGTCATACATGACAATTCAAAAATATAACTAATTGAAATATTTATGTCCCGAGCCGGTGACATATCCTTGGACTGGAACATTATCATTTGTCTAGTTTGGTCATCCGCAAATTATATTGTTAAAACTAAACAGGAGACTCAATCAATGGGGTTTTAACGCTTATTGTTCTTAAAATGGCCAGTCGTCCAATATAAAATGTCGTTCTGCTCACGTTGGTTTTGTCTGTATACATAAAGATCTTATACATATCATAATTTGAAACTCATTTCACAGATTTCAACGTATTTAGTGGGAATATCATGACTTATTCTGAAGACACTTTGTATTAATTGTTCTTATTGAAATGATATCATGCTTATTCTGAAACTGCTTTTGGATTATATGTGGGAATAGTTTGGTATAAAATGATAAGTATAGCTAATCATTACACAGTGATAATCTCCTGTCTGCCCAATATAACAGAAAAGTGCAAACGTTTTTAAAGTAGGAATTACTTGTACAACACTAATAATCTACAGACAAATCAGATAACTTAATTTTGGAAAATATTCATTCATTCATTACGTCTATACAAAACAATTAGGAATATAATATATGTGCATAATAAAAACGATATATCAATTGTTACAATATATCCAACGTTTAAAATGTCGATCTTTCCTCTTTATATGCCGATGGGCTGTGTAGCTTTATCGGAATTTGGGATAAAATCATACGTGTTTTAAGATATTTAGCACTTCCTTTCATCCAGAGTCATTTAATAATTTAATTCATATATTTAATTACTCAAAAACAGATCAACTTACTTACGGGCTAATGTTCCAATGATGTTATGAACCGTAGAGAAATCGATCCGAAAATTGATAATATTACACAATATATTGTGGCGGGCAAATTACCAGTATTACAATTCAATATTTATATGAGCAGATAATATTACATATCGAAATTTTGATAAGGATTGAGTTTTATTTATTTATTCTAAAACAACGAGATGTGGCAAAAGTAAGCAATTAATTTAAATAAGTTAACTTTTTACTAAATTAGCGTTTATTATTCTTGTCACATCGACTCGATTCACGCCGGAAATGATTCCGGACATATTTCCAGAATCTAATATTGTTACCGGAATTTTGTAAACGTTTACTTTATTTCTCAATTATATTTTATATATTTACATATAGATTATACTAGCAATCTTAACATTACGAATGTATATATTATGTACATTGCAGGTTGAATATTTATATATCAAGCGGTTTCATACGACATATATCATAATCGCATATTATATTTCCTGGTGTATTGGATTCGACATAATATTGTAAAAACAAACATCGGATGTACGATTCGTTTTCAAAAAACATACGAAATCTAATGTCTATATATTTCAAATTCTAGTTTTCAGATTATTTTTTTTAATATGGAAAGTATTGGATTTGTTATCAAACATGACATAGTAACTTTCTATAAGCGAAATTTCTTGTATGACCCTTGTTTTTACGAATACGATCTAGTGTTTAATATTATTCATTTGAGGAGTGATTTAATATTTAAATAAGCTATTACACGTGTCTTTAATATTTAATTTTTAGTGTTGAGTAATGGGCCATTCGTGGATTGCACATTTAAACGATATGCTAAATACTATATGGGCTGTTCCATTTTGGTTGAAAACTATTGACGTTGGGATATATATGTATTTGAATACAAATGCAACAACTAGCTTTATTTTTTGTTAAGTGCTGTTTGTATTAATGTGGGTTTTGTTTCTTTTTCTAGTTTTAACAGTCATGGGTTTATTCAATATATTTACTATACACTATTTATTTAATTGAATGTAACATTTTACTTTTAGTTGGCTCTTTTTAAGGAAGAGTCAGTAATACATATTATGAAATCATGCAATAATTGTGCATTATAATATTCAAATTGTTTTGATGGTTGGGTAGATTCAAAGAAGAACCAAGGCATAAATTCAGAATTGTTTTAATAGTTGAGGGTTGAATGAAATTTTAAAGAACAAACCACAAACTATGAAATAAAGATTGAAAACCAAGCCATAATGATAGATTTTTGATATTTTAGGGTTGAATCAAATATTGGGAAACAAACTTTAAACTATGAAATAAAGATTGAGAACCAATCCATAATTTCAGAATTATTTCGAAAGTTTATGGTTAGATTGAATGTGGAGATACAATCATGATACTGCTATTGAATACATATTGAGAACCAAAACAAAATTTCAATTTTCTTTTTATAATTTAGGGTTGAATCAAATATGAAGAAACAACCACGAAATAGGTGATTTCAGAACTGTTTTTTTTATAGTTAAGGGTTGAATCAGATATAAGGAAAAACATGAACTATGAAATATGAAATAAAGATGGAGAACCAACCCATACTTTCAGAGTTGTTCTTACAAGTTAGGGTTTAAAAAATGGAGAAATAAACCATAAACTATGAAATATAGATTGAGAGCCAACTCATACTTTCAGAATCTTTTTGATAGTTTATGGTTGAATCGAATATGGAGAAACAACCATAAACTATCAAATACCGATTGAAAACCAAGCCAGACATGTTTTGATATTGATGGAATAATGATTAAAAACATATCGATTTTTAAATACATGTAAAAGTGGTCATTAACTTTTTTGGGGTAGTATATTTCACAGTCTTGTGGTTTGAAATTGTGAGATTGTTCCTTTGCACGTTAGATCATGTTTGGGTTACGGATATTTGGGATTATTCTTTATTCCACGTTGGATTACTTTTGAAGCCCTCATTTTTAAATATGTAATTTCAAAGTTTCAATCTTCCTATTTTGGCACTTATGCTTATTTCCTAGTGTGTATTAATAACATTTGATAGTTCAAATTATGATTCTTGCAACGGCAAAATTGTAAAGAGTTTCATTTATCTTATTTCCAGATGCCCTGGCGATAATCGCCAACAGCCACAGCAGAGCTGTCAGCTACAGAGCCAGCAGCAGTTTTCTAGTTGCGCATATGGAAATGGGACGTCACTCCCCAATCTTATGCCTTCAGTACCAGACTATGGCGGGTATTCCTGCAGAAATTCACTTATGACAATACCATCATCATCTGTCAATCCTCTACCAAATTCGTATTTTGGGATCGGACAGAATAGTAATGTATGCAATCCTCACCCGACCTACGATACGCATGCGCAACGACAACCAGCGCCACCTTTGCCGAGCATGAATGATACATTTGCTGGTCTACAACATAGTAGTTTCCAAGAAGCAACAGTCGCTGCTACTGCAACCGCTGCTGCTCAACAGCACGTGTCATCAATGTCTGCCCAGTTGCTACGGACAGCACCAAACTATAGCCCTAGCAACATAAACAATATGACAAACATGCATCATTATTCTCTCGGTATTGATATGGGATTTCCCCTTCCTCTACCAGATTACGCAAGGTTAGGATTTCCATTTGGAAAGAAACTGTTCAATTGCCCAAACTGTAGATACGTCACTGATCGTAAAAACAATTTGAAGCGACATCTGGTGACGATGCACCAAGACTGTGACAAACAACTAGAATGTTGTGGGATTGTATTCAGGAACAAAGCATCCTTACGCGATCACGTGGTCATATTTCACAGTAACGGTTACACCTGCAGATACTGCGGGAGAACATTCTGCAGAAAAGCGCTCCTTAAGCGCCACCTAACGGTCCATAGTGGTCAAAAAGACTTCAACTGTGACAAATGCGAGTATGCAACATCTCACAAAAGCAATTTAGAAAGACATCGCAAAGTTCACGAACGAGAAGTGAATGATGTTGACATTTTCGGTAAGCCGACCGATACCGATCAGCTGTCACCGTCGGTACTGAAAGAAAGTCCGGTAAAATCAGACAAATCGCTATTGTTCAGTTTACATGATTGAATAATGTTTGTCCTGTGCAATAAATAGATAAACGTATATAGATATATTAAATATGTATGATTGATATCATATTATTTGTTCAAATATCACTAATCATTTTCTCATGGCCTTGGGTTTTGCCAATTTGTCATTAGTAAAACATGAACACATGTATCTCAAAATTCACATATAATATCATCGGACAGTTATATTAAGATATTTTAAATATGTTTAATATATATTTTTAGATATTAATGTTGTTGTCATTAGCAACTGTTTAATATCTTGGTAAATTAAGATGTATTAAAAATTTCATAATGTATAGTGTAAATCAGAAACTCTAAAAATTAAAGAAAACTATATCCGACCGATATCATCCTAGGGAATTGATCCAAAACAGAACCATGCTAATAATATTTACAGTGATTTATTCGAGAAACATGATAGTTATGTAAAAATTACATCTTGTTGTTAGCTTAGTTCAGTATGGTATAATTGTTTATATTTAAAATTAAGATCTCGACGATTAATGGTAATTAATTGACATTCTTAAGACAAATGGGAGACATATTATTGAAATACACAAGTACAGCTGGTTAAGTTAATTTGTTACATACTTTTGGTATTGACTCAAATCTTTAAAAGACATAGACCAAATCCAGCTGTTTAAAAGAAATCATATTTGATTTGTTCCTAACCTATTTGTCATATTTTTTTTTAATATTGCATATCCGTTTCTGTATGTATACTATGTTTATAATTGGGCAATTTATTATATAAAATATCATAATTATTCCGTGCATGACACGTCCATTAAGAATAACCAAGTGAATTTACAAATCAGAAAATGCACTTAGGGATACTGCAAACTTAGAACTAAGATTTGCAGCACAAAAGTGAAATCCACGATTATTAAAATGTTTTAATATGATTGTAATTCTAAGAAGAAAAAAGCAAATATTTGTGTAACGTGGCAACATTAATGTCATTTAAAATTCAACGGTCACACGCAAATGTTTGGAACATTAAGTAAAAATGTACGAATAAAGTACGAATAAAGTCAAAATGGTGTAAGCTTTACAAATGATTTTATTGGAATTGCATGTATATTTTAGTTTGCAGTTGTGAGAAAATCTTCTAACATGTTATCCTATTTTTGCAAAAAATTAGGTACATTATTCGTTTAAAGGATAATGCCTGTTTTGTCAAATACGAAGTTATATTGCAATATATTATGCAAATCATTGTTGAAAATGATATTACACAAACATGCATGTTTAGCGACAAACCAGTAAGATAATAGGGAGTTTAAGCTTGCAATGTTTTTCACAACCTGAACGTGAACGGAAAATATTTAAGCGATACATTTGGATGGGCGATTGGTCATACGTATAGGTTGGCGTTTCGATTTTATATGCAAGCTTAAACTCCCTAATGTATAGTTTCACACATACATGTATTTTGGTTATAATCATATTCAATATACATTCAGAATAAGTAGACTATTCTGTAGAAGATGTGAATTGTGTGCCATTCAAGGAAATTGGGGAATAAACTCACAAATAGAGTAATACATATCTTTTTTTGCATTTATTTATTCATTCTTTTTATCATATCACCACCACAAGTGGTGATATATTGTTTTTGTCTCCAACCTTTTTGTGAACGATGTTCGGCGATCGGCGTTTTCCGGTCGGCTATCGGCGTTTGGCGGTCGGCATCTGGAACAAATGGCATGTGGTGACATTTTGTATATAAATGTATTGTTGTATTTTATAAAAAAAATATAATGATATAAGTTGTAATAATTAAAGGAAATATTGGTGATAAAGAGTCTTGCAGTAGTTGAACAATAAAGATATTCATTTTTTTAAATTATTAAAATTGAAAACAGGATCACCATTTTGGTTGATAACCGTAAAAACCTTGATAAGTCTTTATCCCAAACTAGTTAGGATAAGAAGTAAAAGAGCCACAAGAATCAAATCCAAACAATCCCAGATTATGGTGACACTCAGAAATAGGGTTTTGAGGGATGCAAGTATACAAGCGATACATCGGTAAGATTGAAATATTATGGTTGAGGTGGAAACACAAATGCCAAGTTCACAAACAGTTAAAAAGAGAACAACTCGGAGTGATTTTGAGGAAATCATTCTTCGATAACAAACCCATGCCTTTAAAGGAAGCAACCCTATTGCGTCCTTCACATTGATCTGACGTAAAATTATTCACAATAAATTCTGTCTGAGGTCGAAGTGATCAACAAAAATGAGATAATCCTTTGATAAATGAATACATCGATTGAAAACTACTAGATGCGAGTTCTTCATTTTAAACTCATATTTCATGAGCTGTTATCTATGTAAAAAAGGTGTCAACTAACGATGTTCCTTTTTATTGCATCGCTATTAGAACATGTATCCACATTTGAAAATTTTCACTTGAATGTAAAAATATTCTTGGACATTTGTCCACCTATGGTGATGGTCATTTGAATATAATGATTTTCAAGAACATAGACTAACAGTAGAATTTACCATTTGAATAATCTTAGTAGTTTGTGTGAAATATACATCACTGGTTTATATAAATATTTATTCAACTATTCTGTAAGCGGTTGAGGGAATGTGCCACTTGTCTGAGAAAATGGGATGGGATTGCTCCGATGCTCTTCTTGCTCTACGATCGATCTCTCTATATGTTTATGTTTTTATGTTGTTCAAATATTGCTCCTCTTTTTTTATTCAAATTATTAAAGTGACATCACATCACTTTACGCCAAGTCTTCATCAGTTATCCATACCATCCTCCATGGCGGACCTGAGAATCAAGAGGAGAGGCCAAAATATTTCCACAAAAAATCTGGAAGTGGGATCCAATTTCTTAAAAATAGGTACAAAATTCAAAAAATAACGTCCGGTCAGGTCAGTTAGTTACCGAAATTGCCTTGGTAATGTGAACATCAATTTTTGGGGTTTCGTCGGCGTTACATGTGAACTTACTAGTTTCTTGATTATACAATCAGATACAGACTAGACCAAAACAAAAATTTACCATTTAAGAGTGTCGCTGACGTTATTCCTTCAAAGGGTTATAATTTAAATGTGATCTTTTAAATTATAAGACTACCATTAACTCACCCAATAATTGAGTTTTTTCTCGTAACCAATGACAGTTGTTTCATTATAACAAGGATGATGTATACCAATATGTCCCCTAGCTCCCGTGACCCTCAATTTATAAAACATTAGAATAACCATTCGGAATTATGGTATCGGTCATAATATTTAATAATTCCGTTACTGTATCAGTATGATGTATGGAATATGAATCTTTGTACACGTCTGGTACGTTTAAAATGTACGTGATGAACTGCAAAGTACTATGACGTGCAGAACTGCATATGTTCCATCTGCATAGCGGCCATGCATCATGTGCAGAACTGCAATGTTTCATCTGCATAACTGCCATGTATCATGTGCAGATTTGCAACGTGCCATCTGCATAAATGCCATGCATCGTATGCAGAAATGCCATGCACCATGTGTAGAATAACCATGCACCAGAACTGTCATACACTACATGTATGTACAGAACCTCCATGTACCATCTGCAGAACTGCCATGCATCATTTGTAGAATTACCATGCACCATGTTCAGAGCTGCAATGCACTATGTACAGAACTGCCATGCACCATATACAGAATGGACGCAATATGTTAATACATTATATGTATGTGTGTAGGGTGGGTGGAGGGACTAGGTTTGTTGGGAACGTTTTTGGGCCAGTTATTTCTACTCAACCCTACATACTTCCTTTATTTGTCTAGTTTACAGTGTTCTGTTGAAACAAAACCGCTTTGACATTTTATTAACTGGAAAGCTATTATTTTTCAAGATATAATTGGAACTCAATTACTTTTTGTCATCTTCATCGTTTACATAATTTATTGAAACAATATCTCTCTGAGACGTCTCGGCAAACAATTAAAATGCTGATATTAGAACTCATGTTGATCAGACTCAGAGGTTACACCCCCCTTCAAAAGTTTGAAATCCGTGTATAGCTCCCCCTCAAAAGTTTGGCAATCGTGCTACGATCCCCTCCAAAAGTTTGGCAGTCGTGTTAAACCCCCTTCAAAAGTTTGACAAAGGTGCCACGCTCCCCTTCAAAAGTTTGATAATGGTGCTACTCTCCCATCTAAAGTTTGCCAATGATGCTCCCCTTCAAAAGTTTGGCAATCGTGCTAAGCTCCCTTTTAAACATTTTGGAAATCGTGCTACGCTCCCCTTCAAAAGTTTGACAATGGTGCCCCGCTCCCTTCAAAAGTTTTGCGATCGAGCTACGCTATCTTAAAAATGTTTAGCAATCATTCTACACTTCCTTCAAAAGTTCAGCAACCGTAATTTCCCATAAGAAAGTCTTGTATTTAAATATGTTCAATATTTATATTGACTTTGACTTTTTAAATCCCAATACAAATGTATATAATAAAATAGGGTTTAAGAACACAAGAGTGTGTAATGGCTGAGTGTTAGGGTTGCTAAACTTTTGGAAGGGCAAGCAGAGACGAGCTGTGCTGTCCGAGATAATAAGGAGGTTGGGTTACACGTATTTTGAGAACTTGAACGCAAACGTGTAATATCAAGACACCCCGGAATTACTTTCCAGCTCTCAATTTGTTTAAACGAAACCCTAATGCAACTATTTCCCTCATATCTTCATACCTAATTGGGCAAATTTAGTGTTGAAGGGACCATGATTTCACACGTTTCACGTACACGTTCTTCAAAATAGTGCGATCTTAACCTCCCTACTAAGGTGTATAAAGTAATGTTGTAACTAGAGATGGTTATTTAATTATCGAAATTGTCAGCAAATTCAGCTTTAGTAGATGACTTAATAAAGAAATACGTTTTTAAAATTATTGAAGAAAGAAAAAATACTGCGTAGACATTCTTAATCTGTTGATTCGATACGTAATGCAACAAACGGGAAAAATCACAGTGTCATTATAATATTTTTGAAAATGCAGATGCGCATTTTAGTTGTTGGCATTGAGCGTTATGCATATATTTAGCTCAAATTCGGGAACAAGGAAATGTGCAAAAGCAAAGTTATAAGAAAAACTAAATAAATTCAAGCCCTATAAATTGTGCAAATCATGCCAATTGAATGCATCTCTGTTTTGAACATACAC